CACATACATGCAGGCTATACACTCATACACATAAAATAAAGATAATAAATAATAATTTTAAAAGACAAGTAATGGCCAGGTGTGGTTGCACACACCTTTAATCCCAGCACTCGGGAGGCAGAGGCAGGCAGATCTTTGTGAGTTCAAGGCCAGCCTGGTCTATATAGTGAGTTCCAGGACAGCTAGGGCTACAGGGAGACCATCTCAAAAAGACATTAGAAAAAAAAAAAAAAAAAAGACAAGTAAAATACTGTAGAATTTCTTGTGTGTGTGTGTGTTGAATGAGAAAATTAGGACACAATAGAAAAAGTAACAAAATAGAATTATATGTTGAAACATATACTTGTAAAATAATACAACAGATTTTACGATCTGGTTTGCATGTATACACATATCAAACATATTAAGGAGGGTTGTTGAAAACCAGGTATGGCAGTGCATACCTGTTATCCTGGCATTCAGGAGATGGACGCAGGAGGATCAGGAGTTCAATCCTGGCCTTGGCTACATAGCAAGTTAGACCCAGGGATTGGGGGCTATAAAAGATTCAAGAAAGGGAACAAGAATTGAAACAGATGACCAGGCCTGGTGGTACACAGCTTTAATTCCATCACTTGGGAGACAGAAGCAGGCAGATCTCTGGATCTCTGTGAGTTCAAGGTCAGCCAGGGCTACGTAGTAAGACCCTATCTCAAAAAAGAAATTTTGAAACAGAAAAAAAAGTGTTACAAGAAGTCTTGCACAAAGTGGTAGTAACAATTTACCTTAAACTGAAGAGTGCATTTGATTCAGCTCTACCCATATGAGTTCCTTATTTTTTTATTTACTTTGGTCTTTTTGAGACAGGGTCTCCCTGCAGCTCCAGCTGGCCTGAACTCACTATGTAGTATATGTAGAGTGTTAGGATTGAAGGCATGTGCCACCACACCTAGCCTGAGTTCCTTTTATTTTTTAAAATATTTTATTTATTATTTTTATTTTATGTGTATGAGTGTTATGCCTGCATGTAGGTAAGTGCACCCGTGTCATGCAATGCCCACGGAGGTCAGAAGAGGCTGTCAGATCCCCTGGAACTGGAGTTACAAACAGTTGTTAGCTGCCATGTGGGTGCTGGGATTTGAACCTGCATCTTCTGCAAGAACAGTCAGTGTTCTTAACCGCTGAGCCATCTCTCCAGCCCCCTGGGTTCCTTTTTAATGTGGAGTTGCATTCCCAGCAGTCATATCAGGTGGTTCACAACTGTTTGTAGCTACAGTTCCAGGGGATCCTACACCCTCTTCTGGACTCCGAAGATACCTGTGTTCATGTGCTCATTTACACATGCAAACACACACGAAAACATATAATTAAAATAAGTAAGTAAATAAATAAAAATATATATAATATACTGGAGTGTCTAAAGAGGTCTGTATTAAAATAATGGTGGTTACCACTGAGGGTGGAATTAAAGGTGAATCTTTTTGTTAACCTGAATAAATACTGTGTAATGAGTCAAATAAATTTCTTCTATTTAAAAAATTCACCTTACTACTCAGAACTACTTCCCTGCTGTTAGATAAACGTATAATAGCCTACAAAAATCAGCTGCCTGTGTGGCCACAGCCATTTTATTGTTTTCCCAGAATGTTCCAAAATAGCTCTGGAACAAGACCAGTGGGACCACTAGATATCTATCTAGCCTCACCCTTCTTCCCATGCAAATGCAGACTGAGCCTCCAATACAACTTTGACAAAACCCTCCATGGAACTCAGAATAACAAGGCCTTCTCCTCCTCCTCTGGGGAAAGGAGGGGCAGCTCTTGTAGTTCTCTCAGAGGCTCAGAACATCCTCTGAAAAGCTGCCTTGAGCAGCAGATGCCAAAACAAAAGGTCCCACCTCAAGGGTGGAAACGCTGTTTGCAGCTTTGTAGACACAGGTGTTCTTCCAGACAACTGCAGACTACAGTGCATTGTGCTTGACCAGGAATAGCTCAGAAGGCCTTTCTCTCAGAAGCCAACTCTTGAGGCCTTTCAGTGTATGTCCTAACTATATTTGGAAGTGCAAACCAAAGAGGTCAGTGGCTTAGCTCTGGGAGGTGTGTGTGTGGGTGTGTGTGTGTGTGTGTGTGTGTGTGTGTGTGTGTGTGGAGGGTTATTATTAATTTGTAATACCTGCTTCAAACTAGGACCAAGAATTTAAAACTCACTTTATTTATTTATTTTGTGTGTGTTGAGGCTATTGCTGAAACAGCTGTCTTTCTCCATGCTACTGGCCCTCACAGAAGTCTTTCAGAACCACAGGTGTAGATTACCTACCCAAGCTGCCCTACAAAGCTAGAGAACATTTGGGGACATTTGGCATGAGAATCTTAAGGTTAAAATTATCTCACTTTACTTCTTATGTCTTCATAGCATCAAAATAGCCTGCAGCACTTGAGTGCAAAGCCCAGCTCCATCACTTCCTATTCACTGTGTGACCTTGGCTGAGTTTCTTTATGTCTCTGAGATTCAGTTTCCTTATCTACAAAAAAAGATAACACCTACTTCACAAAGCCACTGAAAGAACTAAATGAGATAAAGTATATAAAGTAACTGGGAGAATATCTGACACCAAGCGAGTGCTAAAAAAAGAATTAGTTTCCAACCCACCCATCTCTCCTTCCCACCCTTAGCTGTGTGGACAACCTAGTAGTGTTGGGCTTTCAAGAACCTGTCTGGTTCCCTTGGTTGATTACAAATGGATAGTACCAATCCCACCTCCAGCAACAGTAGCTACCGATAAAAACTATTTTGTGGCTGCAGATAGGTTTGAATCAGCTCACAAATGACTCATCACTGTTGATAAATGATGTGTTCTTGGCATCAAGAGGCCCTACCTTGATAAGTTTCAGCACCTTATGAAAAAAAAAAACATCCAGGTTAGTTGAACAGCTTCCAGAGATGGACCCAAAGGCTTCATGGTGACCTTTAATTAATCCTGAGTGAGCACTGTACCAGACTGGTCATAAGAGAGTCTCTGTTCAGTAATGTCTCAAGTCACAGGTTTGGTAGTGGGAAGGACTCCAGCAGCAGCTGTGTCCTTGCTCTCAGAGCTCCACTTGCCTTGGATTCCCTGAAGTCATAAGACTCTCTCAGCAGAAGGCTAGATGCCCGTTCCCTGCTCCCGGCAGCCCTAAGCCACTGCCCAACCTGTCTTTGGCAGCTTTGTCTGGTGGCTGAAGCTCTGCCAGAGTGAGGTTTGGCTGGAGGGCTCTGTGGCTATGGGACAAACCTTGGCTTAAAGAAAAAAAGTGAGAGTGACTTGAGCCACTGTCTGTGTCTCTGTCTATGAGGCCAAAGTGGTCTCTTCTTCCACAGTTTTCAAGTAGCCCCTTTTAGATCACCCTGAACACACTGGCACAGAAATCCCAGGACTGGATTTTTTATCATTCCTTCATCCATTCACATCCTGCGCTTCTTCATTGCCTGGCACAGTTCCAAGAGAATACTTAGCAAGAAAGTCCTTGAGGCCAGGCTGCTCTGTTGTTGAGTTTATTACCTCTTCAGTGCTGGGGAACCTCTCAAAATTGTTAGGATCAAACAGGACCAGTAACTGAACAGGACGGATACTATCAACAGCCAGGTGCCAACAACTGAGGCCTTTGCGAGATTCTGTGTGCTACAGTCTAAAGTGGGATCTGCTTGAGAACCGGTTTGGTCTGGACTCAGAATCAGGACCCAGGCATTTCAGTGCATATATATGAGGCTTCGTTTGCAAGGAAAAACCATCCAGCTGGGGCCCTGTAATGCCACTCCAAAACATTTCCAGCTTCCAAACCAAACAACTTCCAGAGATCCTAAGTCACCTAGAGGCGCAGACATGTCAGCATTTCGAAAAGACTGGCGAGACTTTTTGGAAAGCACAGTAACTGGTCTCCATCTTGGCTCTTCAGGGACCTTGGCTGAACCAATCGGCGGTGCCTCCTCGTAGACAGGTATATGGCCTCACCTTACCCTTCCTTTCTAATTGTGCCAGTGGTCTGGCACTCAACGAGGACTTAGGGCCCAGCATCTCTCACCGAATCTGGGGGTAACCTACGATGATAAGGCAGACAGAAAGCAAAGAGGAAGAAGGAAAGAGGGGGAGAAAGCCAGAGAGAAGTGGAGGGAGTATGAAAAAGTCCTGGGAAGGAGGAAGGAAGAGGAGAGCTGGAAAGGGAGGCGGAACAATGAAGGTCTCAGGCGGTCCAAGGCGCACGGTTCCGGCTGCACGTCTGTCCTGCCCGCCTCCGGCCGGCAGCTGTACGCTGCGCAGCGTGTGGGCGCTGAGTCACTGTCCCAGAACAGCGAGCTGTGCAGGTCGAGGGGAGGGGGGAGCCCGGCTGGCATCTGCAAACGGCTTTTTTTTTTTTTCTTCTTTCTTTCCTCTTTCATAAAGGCTGTGTGCTGACTCCCACGTAGGAGAACTTATTAAATCGCACGTACTAGCTCAGGGCTCTTGGGGGAAACCACGCGTGGCGACCAGCAGGGGGCGCCACAGCCCCGCTTATGGGCTCTAGGGCCCAGCCAGGACTTGGTGGGGCTGAGATGTGTGAACATTTTGCAGGGGGTAGCCTTTAACTTTAACACCCTTAGCTGCAGAATTAACCGCCTACTTAGAAAGCCTCGAAGATCACTCCAAGTCTCCTAGGCGCGCCATCGCGCAGGGTCCCCGGAGCAACCCCATAAAATTGGGACTCTGTTGCCGCAACAGAGAGCCCAGGCTGGCCCATGCACTGGGACTCAACCCTACCCCGCCCCCACCTGGCCGCCACGAGAGGCGGTGACTTCGGGCGTCTCGGAGAACGCTTGACTGGCACCCAGGACACGCGTTCTGTGAGCCCCACATGGAGAACAGAGCGCGTGACAACTAAAGCGGTGCAAAGAGATTGGCTGGCACCCCCGCACTGCGGTCCCATCCTCCCCAGGACGCAGGACCCCAACACTCCTAGACAGACCACAACCAAGACCACCCTTCCCTAGACGAGTGAGCCAAGAAAGGATCAGCATTGAGACAGTTTATTGATTTGATTTTCGCATATCATCTATTTTATGTAAATCGATTATACAGAGACAGGATGTTTCTTTCTTCCACAGGCGGTAGTCAGGCGCTCTCCATCTTACACACACGCACACACACCATGAACCAAACAACCTTACACCTCAGCTGAGACATTCACGTCTTAAAATAGGGGAAGGGGACAATATAATTGCTTTAAAATGCCCTTAATAGAATATATAACGTACAAAAATATCTCTATATATCTGAAGTTACAAAAAAAATCTTGACAGCAACAAACTTAAATATTGATAGTTACCTTTATACGTACAGCACGCATTGCACTCTTCCTCGCTAGGTTTTGGAAAGTTCAAGTAGTAATGAGGCTTACGCCCCGGTGGGGGGAGACCCCCGTGAGAAATCAGTTTGTGGGTGGGCAAGGTAGTGGCTCAGACCAGTGCGAAGCACTCTGATTCCGCGGGCACCAGCCGGACTCTAGTGCGACTGTTCAATGCTGCCACGGGCACTTCATCCTAAGGAGTTTGGCCAGAACTCCGGGCGGCCAGTGTCTGCGGCTGGGAAGACACCAGAGTCCGAGCCTGGAGGGCCTCGGGCAGGGCACGCCGGCGCCTGCGGCCATAGCCTTGGGGACTGATCTTGTTCCTGGGGGCGACGCCGTCTTTGTCCTTGTCTGTGAATTGGTAGATCTGGTGAGCCAACTTCTGCACTGTGCAGGTCCCGAAGCGGCAGCCCGGGCTGCGCGAGCCCTGAAAGTTGTTCTTCATCTGGCGGTAGCGCTTGACTCGGATGCGGGAGGTGTCCGCACTGCTGGGGAAAGGGGAAGGCAACTTGAGACCTCATCCACCAGGGCTTTGGCCCCAACCAGCAGGGACCAGAGCCATGCAGAACCCCAGGAATCTGGAACCTTGCTCCCGCCACCAGAGCTGCAGTCCTGCCTTGACAATCCCCCAGGCCAGGGTGGTGGAGAGGGCACATCCTCTGCATGGGACTTAGTTACCTGGCTTGGAGGCTGCCAGATGCTCCCTTCACATCCTGCGGCAGGACCAGAGCCTGGACAGGCCCGGCCTTCAGGTCAGCGAGCCCGGTGGGGTTGCTGGATACTGGCAGTTCCCTCTTCCCACGACTTAGCGCCCACTTATTCCATCTAGAAAACACAGGTAGATGCGATTAGTCGGTATTCAAGCGGCGTCCCAACCAGTTTCTTCTCCCACCTCGGGACCATAGTTTAATTTTCCCTTGCTGCCAGGTGCTAGGAATGGGGAAAATGTTGCCCCAGACTCACTTCTTTCGGAACTCCGACGCGACGTCGAGCCGCACGGTGTCCGCGCCTAGGAAGGCGAGTGAACACAGGAGCATCAGGGCGATGGAAAGCAGCTTCATCGTGATGATGCGCAGAGACCCTGGAAAAGAGCGAGGAGCAGAGTGTAAGCACTCGGGCCAGCTGGACCGTCCCGGCGAGGCACGAAGGGCAAGAGGGGGCCCCCGCGTGCGCTCGGCCATGCTCTGCTGGGTTCAGACATTTATTTATCTCTCTCCTTGGCCCAGAGAGGCGCCTGAGGCGTTCGCACCGGCCGGCCCAGCTGGTGACTGGCCCCGCGGGGGGAGGCCGCTGCCCAGCTCCAGGCTCCAGAGGTTTCCTGCTCAACTCCTTGGATCAAGGCCCACGGAGGAGAGGAAACTGGATTTCTGGAGCTCCAGCTGTGCGCATGAGCTAGTCCGGGATGTGAGGTGCACTCTACAGTGGACTCCCCCAAAGTAGGTTGTTCTTTCACCCAGAGCTCCCAGTTTGGAGCTTTCAGCAAAGCCCTCAATACGCTGAGCCAGAGGTACCTACCTGCTGAACGGGTGATTTGTCAAGCAATCAAAGGAGAAAGTCCAAGATGTTCTTCTGACAGTGTCAAAAATCCCAACGTCCCAGTACGACGAGAAGCCAGAAGTGGTGGTAACGCTGGAGCGGTTCTGCCTAGTGTCACCAACAAACCACTGACTGGCCGCTCCAGTTCCAGCGCTTTATAAGAGAGCAGGGGGGCGGGGCCTGCCTGCCCTCCAGCCCTCCCTTTCCTCGGGCGCGCGCTTGCCTCTCATTCCAGGCGTGTGGATGGCTTGCCTGAGGATGTAGGAACAGGAGTAAGGGTCCCTTGCGCCCAGAGGGCTCGGAGATGGGATCTGGGATGTTAGTGCAGGGTGACCACCGCCCTAATTCCCTGGTATTAGGTTTCAGACGGTAAGAAGGAGAGAAAAGAGGGCCAGGTTAGGTTTTGGGGGGATCCTTTTCCCAGGGCAAGTTCAGCTGAGAGTGCGGGGCTTTCTGGATAAAGCTGCAAGAACCAGTGACAGGGGTCGGGGTTGGTGACAGGGATGAACGAAACCCTGGACGTAGGGAGCTGTGGCCTCAGTGGACCGCGCCCTCTGCCGGCTTGGAGCCGGACCCAGCCTCGACCCCCACCTCCCGCGGAGCGGAGGAGCAGGGTACAGAACAGAACCCCAAAGGGTGAGGCTCGCCTGTTCCCCTGGCAGCTCCCCAGACCCAAAGGTTTCTTCTCCATGGGCTAGTAAGTTTTCATATTAAGGCAAAACTGACAACTGAATTGAAAATTGGGAATTGGAGTGAGTAGTTATCTGAACTTTCAGAACTTAACATTCCTATTTGGAAATACGGGAATAACCAAAATTTGGGGGGGAAAAAGGTACTGTTTTATTTCCCCCCTTGTAATATTATGCCTTATAAGGTTATAACCTGAGACTTGGCCTGGCTGCCTTCATTCACCCATTGTAAACGTGAGGACTGACTGGCAGGGAGCACACTAATGCCTCACGTATGTTAATCGCTTTACAGTTGACAAAGCAGAGCCACAACCCACTCTCTTTTGATCTTTACACTCACCCCTGAGCTAGGTGAGGAAGCTAATATTACTTTTCCCAAGTATGAAAGCGGGGTTCAGAGAGGGGAAGTATATTGCCCAGTCACACTGAAGGCGGGAAGCTATAGAGTCGGAACTCGGAAGATTGGGGCTGGGGCCGCGTAGATCCTTCGAGATTGGGGTCACCCGTTCTCCTCCTCAAGCGGAGAGAATCCCAGCCCGTACCCAGGAATATGTGTCTGTTCATGATGAATCAGTTCGAACATGTTTGTCACCTGTTTGTACACTCCACTTGAGTTAACTTTCTTAACATCCCTTCTAGGGTTCAACTGAGAAGCAAGGCCCAACCCCGAGTGTGGGTCTCCAGTGTCAACATCCCCCACCCCACGCGAATTCTCAGAAGCCCAGAGATTAGATCCGGAGGCCAAGCCTGCCAGACAACAGCCTATATCAGCTGCTGGTCCTTAGTCCTAGGCAATTTGGACACAGGCAAGTCGTGTCCTCTTTCTAATGTCCCTGGGCAGATCTCCAAGCTCCCATAATGGTTCTGAAATAACGCAAAATGTGGCTGGGCGCTGGGTCCCCGTGGACCTTGCCCACAGCGTGGTCTGGGCTGAGCACTGCTGGCTCCGCAGCCTTGTCAACTCTGGAGACTGAACCGTGGACATTGCACCTGGGGAAGAAATGGCCGCACTGAGGTTATTTTTCCAGGGAACTTCTAGAGGAGATCTGAGTTCCACCTGAGGCGGGAGACAGAGTCCAGGCTTCAGACTCTGGAACTAGTAGGGGACACCGAGGTTCAAAAGGCTGCAGCGAACTGGCCAGTTTCCGGCCGTCTGGCTGGGCGCAGGACAGTCACCGCAGCAGCCCGAGTCAGGCGCTAGAATCCGGCACCGAGGACAGCAGGTAGCACAGCGCGCCGTTCGGGTTCCTGAACACCCAAGACTTCACTATTGTTTTCTCCCTCCTCTCCCATTTCTGGCCCTTCCTTTCACTTAGTCCCCTGGGTCGCCTACGCACCCTCTATCTCTCTAAGGATACCTACCACCTACCTGTCGCCAACTTCCAGCTGGGCCTATGCCATGTCGGGTTTTACTTTCTTTTCCCTAGCGCGCACTGGGGTACTCCCAGGAGGGCAAAGACTGCTTGGCTGGCCCACAGCCAGGGCAAGTCTCGTGAACTGGACTCTTCCTTCCAGTCCCCCCCCACACACCCTTGAGGAGTTCCTTCTGCAGAGACTCTGCGGCTGGACCTGGTTGCCGCCTCTCTATGTCTTTCAGGAAAGCCAGAGATCCAAAGAAAGTGAGCTCTCGCTTGAGACATGATCGCCAAGCGGGCGCTTAGCTGAATTTTTTTTTTTTTTTTTTTTTTTTTAAATCCAGAGTCTCATGTACCCCAGGCTGGCCTAGAACTCATTATGTAGCAGAGAATGACCTTGAACTTCTGATCTTTCTGCATCTCTCCAAGCACTCTACTAACTGAGCTGCATCCCCAACCCTTCAAACTTCTTACTGAGCTACAGATGGCTTAAAGGAGGAAAGCTAACCCAGGGGTGGAAGGAGAGACTCCATGGCTTGGCTCTGAGCTGCTATGTTTGAGCCAGCAGGGATGGCCCTGCGCCAGGAATTCCCACCTGAGCACCTTGTCACTAGCCTTATCAGTCTGAGTGCCATGCTGGCACTTAACAGATTGTCACTTGAGAATGAAGCCAATTCTTTTTTTAGGCAAGGTCCTGGATTGGCAGCTCCAGGGATTTTGCTAGAAAACACGTACCTCAGAAAGTTTCTCTCTCTCTCTCTCTCTCTCTCTCTCTCTCTCTCTCTCTCTCTCTCTGGTTTCGAGGATGGGAAGCTGTTGCTATCTATGTGCTCCCCAAAGGGTTAATGGGTATAAATAGAAAAAAAAAAATAAGGAATTTACCAAGTCTGTATATGTATTTCTTTTTCCCTTGTGGAATCAATTGCCTTCCTTAATCACTGTTAAAGGGGGGTGGGGGAGGGGCAACCAGTAAAATGCATTTCAAGTTCAATGGTCCTGTCTAGAAGACAGACAGCAGGAGTCCCTCCCGCGATTTATTCACAGAATTTTTGTCCATTCCAGTGCAATGATTGTAAACTCACAGTGAATGTGGACAGCACAAGGAAGGAAGGAAGGAAGGGAGGGAGGGAGGGAGGGAGGGAGAGAGGGAGGGAAGGAGGAAGGAAGGAAGGAAGGAAGGAAGGAAGGAAGGAAGGAAGGAAGGAAGGAAGGAAGGAAAGGAAGGAAAGAAGGAAGGGAGTGAAGGAAGGAAAGGAAGAAACATGTTTAAAATCTTCCTGGCAAGAAAACAGAAAGAAAAAAAATTCTGATTAATGAAGATCTACTTTTTGTCTATTTGCCCAAGAATGCCAAATGCTGTGTGTTAATGTGTATATCCTGTGCATCATATATACAGATGCAAATACCCATGCACTAAAGGCTTACTGAATAATGGTGTTTCAATTTCTCCTTCACATTCCAACTGAAAAGTTTTTGGACCCTAAATCTGAGCCTTATTCTTAGTAATATTTGGAAGTTTGGGGAAAAAAAATGTGGTGCTGTGGTGAACACAGTTTCTAAGGCTAGGGTCATCAGGAGCAGATCTTTCAGAAAAGTAAGGAGAAACAATAAATGATATTAAGGATGTCAATAACATGTAAGCAACTAAAAACAGTGTACGGTAATCTTGGATGCCTCTTTTTTCAAACAGGAAATTTTATGATGCATTTTTTATTCATGAAGTACAAAAAGGCCTGTTAAGCTTGGAGCTTGTTTACAAAGTTCTCTTGAAAACAAGGTTCAAGATGCATCCTGAAGTCATAACATGGAGTGGTTTACAGAAAGGACACAATCCGCTTTGTAGATTTGGTTTCCTAGGGACAAGGAAAGCAGGATATGAAGCCCAGGGCACTTTCCGGGGATCTGACTTCTCAAAGGAGCTAATAAAAATATAGATTCCTCCCAGAAAATGAACATGTACATAAAACCAGCTAAGTGGAAAACGGGCATGCAATGAATGCCAGGAGACTGACCAAGTCAAAAAATTCTGACACTGAATAAAACACAGTTTCTACAATTTTAATTTCTATCTGGTTTGGAATAGCAGAGACAGGAAGAAGACAGTTAGCCTCCGTCTTTAAGGCATAGTATTTTCAAGAACATCTACCTAAGGGAAAGTAATGCTTCTGGTGCTTTATTTAAAAAAACCTTCTTCTTTTGGTGGGGAGAGCAGAGTTTGCTGGGGACTGAACCTAGGACCTCACATGAAACAAACATTCAACTACTGAGCTGGTATCCCTAGCTTAGTGCTTCATTTTTGTGTTTCTGCACAAAATAAGGAGAAACGGATAATCTTAGCACATGATAGAACCAGAGGGTTAAACCTGAAGTTTAAAGAAGGTAAGGTGTTCTAGGACAAATGAAGGAGAACACTAGGAAGGTAGTGAGCATAGAGAAGGCTGTTATGCTAATATCAGTACCAGAATGAGATAACATGGCTTCGGGAGAAATTTATTACAGATAGCATGATGACTAGTATTGACTTCATGATAAAAGAGGTGATCGGACATTTGGGACCATCCTACCTGCCTCCAGGTGGGAATCCTGTATTAATATCAAATTATAAGGGTTTTGTTATACGCCTGCTTTGTTTGAAAGTTCAGTCACCCTTTAACAAATATTTACTGATCATGAATTAGGTACCCAGCACTGCTAAGTCCTGAACACATAGTAATGATCCATGCAAGCAGCATTCTTGCTCTCTATAAGCTTTCAGCCTAGTGGGGGAACCCACCATAAGCAAAATCTCATAAAAATATATATGCCACTATAAACTGCAGCAAGTGTTCTAAAGAAAAGAAAGAGTAGGGGCCAAGATGGAGGAAAGAACTTGTGCAAAGGCCCAGAGAAGTGAGTTTGTTTGGAATGTACTAAGGGAGAAGAGAGGAATAAAGTGAGATTAGGAGGTCATCGGAGCCTGGTGTGGTGAGGTCTGTAGTCCAGCATTCACAAGGTAGAAGCAGGAGGAGCAGGAGTTCAAGGTCAGCCTGGGCAATGAAACATGCTCTCAAAAAACAAATGAACAGCCAGGTGTGGTGGCGCATGCCT